CTTATGCTAGCTTTTTCGTGACTTATGTACAAGGACTCCCCATATCCACCTGTGCTGAAATTTTCTAGTCTTGCCCGAGGGAAAAGATGACTCTAAAGGCAGGCTGCTATTTGGAGCTTAATACCAGCATTACAGCAACAGTGGTCAAGTGATCACATTCCTTAAGTTTAATATGAGATGTTAGAACATGCCCAACTTAATATTTGCTGCAGACTTGATCACTCGTGTAGTGATGAATGATACAAGCAAGCTCATCAGTAAGGGTAGGAGGTAAAGCTCGCTATTTTTAATCTGTGTATCCAGAGGGTAGAATTTTTTCCTCTTACCTTGGAGTGCTGCTGTTGCTCCTCCAGTTGTGTGCCTCTTTTCCAAGCCTCTGAAAAAATGGAGCTGACAATACTTTGGGAGCGAACATGACCTGTAGACTGTAAGTCAGAAACGCCACTGTCTGACTGGTTCGAATGGTTTGAATGGGATTCTGCACAAACAAAGCAAGTGAAATTGAAGCGCATGCATCAAAGTATGGGTCTATCAAAGCCCTGTACAAAATGCTTTAAATTTTAGATAACACAACACGTGTTTTAAATCTGAAACAATAAAATACTGAACATACACAACTCAGTTAATATTTTAGGTAAAGATTCTTTGGATTATGGATTTTCATAAATGGTATTTCTTTTCACCATTAAATTCCATTTTGAAATTTACTTCATGCTTTTCAAAGTACTTGCACCTAAACCTAACAAAAATAAAATTATAGAACTCCCATTTCTTTCTGACTTTGTATATCAAATATAACTACAATCTTTCTGAATCTACGACTACAGCAAAAATGGCAACACCTTTTCTCTTGTTTCCTCTTACTTTTGCCACCCACTGTAGAGACCCTCCATAGAAACAAGCCACAGTAGAAGAAGGTGTATAAATTCAGTAAATCAAGCCCGTTTGCCATTTTCCAATCTAATCGAACTGTAGCCAAGTCAAGGAATCTTTTAAAAATTGAAACCATGCATCAGCTGTCTCACTAGAATCACATTCCCTACAGTGCAGAAGGAAGCCATTCAGCCTATCAAGTCTGCACCAATCCTCCGAAGAGGATTCTGCCTGATGGAAGAGGGTGGACGAGAGTATAACTGGGATAGGGGTCTTTAATAATGTTGATTGCTTCCCAAGACAGCAGGAAGATGGAGTCAATGGAAGGAAGGCTGGGTTGCATAATGGACTGTGTTGTGTTCACGGCTCTAGTTTCTTGTGGTCTTGGGTACAACAGTTGCCATACCACACTGTGATGCATCCAGATAGGATACTTTCTATGGTGCATCTATAAAAGTCCTTGTGGACATGCTAAATTTCCTTAGCCTCCTGAGGAAGCAGAGGTGTTGTTATGTTTTCTTAACCATCACAGTGTTGTGGGTGGACCAGGGCAGATTGTTGGCGATCATCACTCTCTGGAACTTGACACTTTCAACCGTCTTCACGTCAACGCTATTGATGCAGACAGGGGCGTGCTCTCCACTTCGCTTCCTGGAGTCAATGACCAGTTTGTTTGTTTTGCTGATGTTGATGGAGAGACTGTCTTTACAGCAAGTCACCCCCAAGCACTTAATATCTTTAGTGTATTCTGTATGGTCTTTGTTTGAGATCCAACCTAGAATGGTGGTGTCGTTAGCAAACTTGTAAATGGAGTTGGGGAGGAATTTGGCAACACAGTTGTGAATGTATAAGGAGTACAGAAGGGGACTGAGTGCACAGCCTTGCGGGGCACCGGGGTTGAGGATTATTGTGGAGGAGGAGTTGTCACCTATTCTTACTGATTGCGGTCTATGGGTTAGGAAGTCCAGGGTCGAGTTACGGGGGCGGGCAAGACCTAGGTCTTGGAGTTTAGAGATGAGTTTGTTTGGAAATATGTTGTTGAAGGTGGAACTGTAGTCAATAAATAGGAGCTTGACATAGATATTTTGTTATCCAGGTGTTCCAGGGATGAGTATAGGGCCAGTGAGGTAGCATCTGCTGGGGACCTGTTGTTCTGGTATGCAAATTGCAAAGGATCAAGGCAATTTGGTAGGCTGGAATTGATGTAAGCCATGACTAACCTCTCAAAGCACTTCATAATTATGGAGGTTAGACCCACTGGATGGTAGTCATTGAGGCATGCTGCATGATTCTTCTTTGGCACCGGGATGGCAGTAGTCTTCTTGAAGCAAATGGGGACTTCAGATCATAGTAAGGGGAGATTAAAGATGTCTGTGAATACTCCCACCAGCTGCTCCGCACAGGATCTGAGTGCACAGCCAGCAACTCGATCCGGACTAGTCGCTGTGCTTGGGTTCACTCTCAAGAAAGCCGAATGAATATCTGCAGCAGTGACTGTGGGTACAGGAGACATTGCTTCACTGATCTGCTGTTCAAAGCAAGCATAAAATGCATCAAGTTCGTCAGGTAGGGATGTACTGTTGAGATTGGTTGGCTCGCCGAGTTGGTTTGTTGTTTCGCAGACGTTTCGTTACCATGCTGGGTAACATCCTCAGTGCAGCCTCCAATGAAGTGTCGGTGTGTTTTCCCACCTGGCTTTTAAACTCTGGAGTCTGTTAAGCTGGATTGCGTCACTTCCGGTTTTCCTTCGTATATGGGGTCGAGTTCTACGTGTTTGTTAACAGCATGCTTTGAGGAGTGCCGGGCTTCTAGGAATTCCTGTGCCTGTCTCCGCTTAGCTTGTCCCAGTCGAACTGGTGGTTCTCCTTGTCCACGTGGATTGAGATGAGTGAGTATTGGTCGTGTCTTTTTGTAACCAGTTGGTGTTCGTGTACCCTTGTTAGTTTCCTTCTGTTTGTCCGATGTAGTGTTTCTCACAGTCTCTGCAGGGGATCTTGTAGTGACATAGGTCCTGTCCATGGCGGTGAGCGGGTCTTTAGTTCGGGTGAGCAGTTGTCGTAAGGTTGATGTGGGCTTTTGTGCCACTCTGATGCCCAGCGGTCGTAGGAGTCTTGTGGTTAGTTCCGATGTGTTCCTGATGTAGGGTAGTATGATGAGTGTGTCGGAGTGTGTAGTATCTTCCTGATGTTGTTCATGTTGGCATCTTCTGACCCAGTTTTTTGGATATCCATTATCCTTGAAAACCTGGAAGAGGTATTCTTCCTCTTGGCGTAGTACTGTTGCCCGCAATTCTGTTCAACTTTGCTTTGTAGCCGTTATGTCACGTAAGCCTTGCCACAAACGATGGGTGTTCACGTAGTTGATTTGTGTCTCAAGCTTAGTTTGGTATTGCCCCTTGGCGTCTCTGATGGCCTTTCGCAGGTCATACTGGATTTCCTGTAGAGGTCAAGGTTGCCCAACCTGTACACCTCAGACCTAGGCACCAGCAGGGTTTCTTGGTCCCTCCATGCCAAATATTTGCCACACACAGAATACAAAGCTATTTAATCACCTTAATCCATACATCAAGGATCAAGGACCTACATCCTGCCAAATCATTTAACTAGTTTCTAATTTGTAAACATATGAGAAAAAGCTTGCATTCAGAATTTTAATTTCACTAGTGATATGGGTATATCTACATCAAATGTACTGTAGCAGTTCAAGGCAGCAGCTCACGACTGCCTTCTCAAGGGCAATTAGGGATGAGCAATAAATGTTAGCCCAGCCAATGAAGTCAACTTTCCTTGAATGAAAAAAATACATCAAGGTGATTAGGAAGGAAATTCAATTTTGTCATTTATTTCAAGAGGCGTGGAATATAAAGTAGGGATGTTTTGCTACTGTAATATAGGAAATTGGTAACATCACATCTAGAGTACGTTGTGCAATCTGGTCTTATAATTTAAGAAAGAACATAATTGCATATAAGCAGTTCAAGGAGTATTCACTTCACTGAAGAAGGGTTTATCTTATGACAAAAGGCTAGTTGGTTCTGTATCCATTTAAGCTTAGAAGAATGAAAGATGATCTTTTCCCTCTTTGCAAAAGGTCGAACCAGGAGACATAATTTAAAAATAAGGGGACTCCATTTAATAGATGAGGAAAAGCTTTGTTCTCTGAGGGTCATAAGTTCTTCCCCTCAAGAGTAGTGAAAGCAGGGTCACTGAGCACATGTAAGTCAAGAGTGTCACACCTCACTGAAGTATTTGTGCTAAAAATCAAGCACTGCCAGTCATCAGGAAAGTTAAAACTATTATCAAAAAAAATCTCCAATTTACTTGTCAGGTAAATAGATTCTAATCACAGGTAAAGAACTATGAACTACTGATCTATAACTCTACTAGTTAAAACTCTTAAATCCCTTATAAAATCTTCTTACCACACCTATAAAAAGGCAAAGGCAATGAAACATTGGTGTTATGGGTGGAGGGAAAAAAAAAGGGAAAGAAGTTCAATGGCTCCATTCCACAGAGCTCATCAAGATGAACCTTTTGCTTGCCAGAATTTTCTGTTCTTCAATTTTTCTTCTCCACATTCTTTTTGTTTCTTCACTGGAGGCAGAAGCGAATGGTATACTAACAACAATGTCTCTTAGTTACTGGTTAAAGGCAACTGCTTACTAGGGAGGTAAAGAAACTGATTTTCTTCAGGCGTTAGGTAGTCTACCGGAGAGAAAGACACCCCATCTGCTATATAGTGGTTTGAAGACTTCTGCCAGTATTCTTCAGACCTACAAGCTATTCAACTACTCAGAAGCCAATCAGATAATTGTTGTCAGGCTGATGGCCTTTGGCATTCAAATTAGTCACAATGCAGAAACCAAATCAGCAACTTGTTGCCAGTCTCAATTAGTAATGGGCAATAAATGCTGGCACAGTCAGCAAAGCCCATCACTTGAATGGATTTTAAAAAAAAGTGCCAGACATTTTTAATTAACATCTGTAGCTCTTGAGCGGGTACATAACCAATGCTCACCATGCCTTAAACAAATGTGTTCCGCATTTATTAGGATTCAATTTTTATTTCCCTCAATTCTTCTACTCATACGTAATACAGGGCAGGAAGAGGACCAGCTGGAATGTTCTGCTTACACTTGAGCGTAAATAGGTTCCTGGGTGTCAACTGCTGCCTGCATGTCTACACTTCAATAGGAATTCAATTATTTTGAAACAGGGGTAATGGGGAAGATGTAGAAAATTGGCATGGGTGGGAAGGGGACAAAAATAAAACTGGTCAGTTTACCTGGCAAACTGGAAGAACTAGACCCAGATTTCATACTGGCACTGGATAAGGATGACCATTCATATGCTGCTTCAGCTCGTTTCACAGCATCGTGGTAGTTGTCATATAGTTGTTTCCCGTACTGGTTAACAAAGACAAAAATGGGATTATTTGATTATCATTTCTATATATTGAGAGGAAATAAAGACCATTATAACAGTGGTAACTCACATATAGTTTTAATGGATCACTGAGATTGTTTGGTGCGGTCTTACTACAATCAATCAAAGTGGGTCTTGGTGAGGTCACACTGACAGCAGCATGTAAATGTTTGGCCTTATCTGGGGAAGGACATCCCTTCTGCACTTCTGGGAGATAGCAAGAACTGCAGATGCTGGAGTCAGAGTCATTACAGTGTGGAACTAGAGGATCATAGCACCTCTCATGCTGCCTGACCTGCTGTGGTCCTCCAGCTCCACACTACGTTGCACTTCCTCCAGGTAAGCAAAGGTTCATTGGATCAGTGCCTGGGATGATGTTATTGTTCAATGAGGAAAGACTGTATAGATTATGCTGATTAACCCCGAAGTTCAGAATAATGAGAGCTGCCCTTATTGAAACACATAGTTAAGGAGTTACATAGGGTAAATCCTGACAGGATGCTTCCTCTAGCTGAAGCTTCTAAAAGAAAATCAGTCTCAAATTGAGAGACCAGATGGCCTAATCCTGCCCCTATTTCTTATGTTCTTATCTAATAAAAGGATTAGTTATTTAGGGCTGAGAGAAGGAGAAATAGTTCACTCAAAAGATGAATCTTTCGAATTCTCTACTGCAGAAATCTGTAAATCTGGAGATATTCTCAGTACATCCAACACAGTATTCAAAAATCTATCGATATTCAAGAGATATCAGGGAAAATGAATGCATTTGTTTGGCAGTACTGAACTTGAATATTGCTGATAAAAGACACATTTTGTTGAAGCTACTTAATTTGCATTCATCAGAACAATTTGCAAGAATACCAATTCAAGTGGGGGGGGGGGGGGGGGGGAGAACAATATTTATATTGCACAAGATACAAGAGCTAACTGATTGGCAAATGGACTCCAGTTGGTCGAAGTACGAGAAGCACCAGTTAATGATGTTTTTCCGTTTTTTTAAATGATGTTTGATGGTTAACAGCCAGGCTTTGTTTAAATTTTAAATCAGACAGGTTGACTCTGATTGGTCAAGGCTTGCCAAAGAAATGAAACAGCAAATGGCTGTCACCTATTTTGTTAAGTTGAAACAGGTGCAGTGCACATTCAGGTTTATTTCTGTCTGCAAAGAACAGGCCCTTTGCATTTTATATGCAGTGACCACACTGAAAGTTTGACTGGCATTCTTAAATTGTTTGCCACTATATTTCTTCATGCACTCAGGATTATCCAGCAAATGTTGTCCAGTTTCAGAATCACATCCGATGTTGGACAAGGTATTGTACTTTTTGCAAGTGTGGCCTAGTTAGATATGGTCAGTATCTTGCTTGTTGCAAACAAAGGGGAATGCTATGGAATCCTAATGTGTATATTGACCAATGGAGGTAGGGTTTGCTGTACATAGTACTGGACAACTACTTCTCAACTAAGCTGTCGAGGAAAGGGAGCTTATTTAAAGTAAATATACTCTGGGAAAAATTCCACTGAAGACAATTCTCCTTAATGTACCAAATTTTCGACTGCAAAGCGTGTTAGGATCACGGAATTAAAAGGGGATGTGGCCCAAGTACTTTTGAAACAGTGAGTTGGGAAACAATAGATTAGCAATAGAAGGTCTTCGAGGGGAATATGGTTTGGGTGCACAATAGAAACATTCCACGATGGGGAAGGGAACTTAAGTTTAACACCTGAAAAATATTATAACAAATTTCAGCTTTCCAGTACAATGGAGAAATGTATATATAGAAAGTGAGACAACTGGAGAAAAGAAAGAAACAAGGGGCAAAAATAGTGTACGCAAAAAGATTACCAGTTGCATATAATGTCTTAATACATTAAAAGTGCAATCAAAGTGGGCAGGGGGGGTGAACTTCTTATACAGATGGAAGGTATTGCTAAGGCAATAAATAAGAACTGTGTGTCTGGCTTCAGAAAAGAGGAAACTACCACAGTGAGTGATGTTCAAAGAAGATAAGTCACCTCTTTCAGATGGGATGCATCCTAACTTTGTATGGGAAATAAACTTGGTTGTGCTGTTGACATTATGCATATGAAGACTTTAAAAAGGTGTTTATTAATATCTAATTATTAACTTATTACAAAGTTGAACCCAGGGGATCAAAGGGGAAATGGCAGCTTAGCTACAAAACTACCAAGAGACAGAAAACAGTATTGGCAAACAATTATTTTTCATATTCAACAGGGGTATATAGTGGCATGACTGATATTAGTAATAGGGTAACTGTTTCTTTATTTTTCAATCACCTGTACATGAAGGTACTATTTCAAAGTCTGCAGTTGACATAAAACATGAAAATATAGTCAACTGAAGAGGATTGTAGCAGACCTTAGGACATAGGCTGGTAAAGTGGGCAAACACATGGCAGATTACTTTAACATAGCTGTGTACAGTGATCCATTTTGCAAGGAGAGATAATATCAAATAAGTCGCACAATTTTGAAAGTAGTACTGAATCAGAGACACCCAGGGATTCTGAATACACTGAAGGCTATTGGGAGAAAAAAATAGGAATGTGGGATTAATTAGACAGGTTTTTCAAAGAGCTGACACGGATACTTTATTGCTGTATGTTCAAAGCCTAATAAAGACAGTGCTCAGAAACAGAACATTTTCTCAAGTTGGTGCTTGGGGTCAATCTCAACTATTTTCTGAGGTAAAGCACAGGATACTGACTGATTAAACTTTTAGCTCCGCCCAAGGATAAAGTATGACCTCCATCAACAAGAGCTGGTTACCTTGGCAATGCGAATGCCATTCACCCACTGGTGAAGAGTTCTGATATCATCACAGCAGAGATACTTGATGTACTGAGATTTCTTCTGGATCTGAGGGTGCTGTAGGAATACAACAGATTGGGAAAAAAATTGGCACAAGATTGGCATCTATGTTCAAAACATTCCCTCTGATAGAAGACCGTGGTCAGACTGGAATTGGAAACATGCAAGTCTGAATTGGCAAACGTTTCTCATGGTAAATTGGACTATAGATGGTTATTCAAAGAGGTATAAGATGTACAGCACGGAAACAGACACTTCAGTCCAACTTGTCCATGCTGACCAAATATCCTAAAGTAATCTAGGCCCATTTGCCAGCATTTGGCCCATATTCCCCTAACCCCTTCCCATTTGTATAAATGTTGTAATTGTACCCACCTCTACCACTTCCTCTGGCACCCGCTGCATGAAAAAGTTGTACCTTAGGTCTCTTTTAAATCTTTCCCCTCCTAACTGAAACCTACGCCCTTTAGTTTTGGAATCCCCTACCCTGAGGAAAAGACTTTGCCTATTCATCCTATCCATGCCCCTCATGATTTTATAAACCTCTATAAAAGGTCAGCCTCCCCTCCAGGGAAAATAGCCCCAGCCTATTCACCCTCTTCCTATAGCTCAAACCATCCAAATGTTGTCAACATCCTTAAATCTTTTCTGAACTCTGTCAAGTTTAACAACACCCTAGGGAGACCAGAATTAAATGCAGTCTTCCAAAGGTGGCCTAACCAACGTCCTGTACATCTACACAAAATAAAATGTCAACAAGCAACTCCTGCAAGTACTTGCATTCCTTTCTTCATGTTTTCTTCATGCATTGTGTTAATAATTGCTCACTTCAAACTCCTACAATGACAGATTTTGAAGGATGGAAGAGTTGAGTCTGGAGGGAAAAGATATGGTTGAAAGTTTCAGCAGCAAACTGACAGTGGCAGAGGTAGGGACAGGAAATATTTTATGGGTGCATGTGAGCAACAAGTGGTAAAGAAGAGTATACGGCATATCACCTCAAAGTTAAATGGGAAAACAAGATTGCAAAGAGTTTGCTTCAGCTTGAGATAGTGTCCAGTTTTGGGAATGGACTTTGTTTACTGAAGATTTTGCAAAACTTAGCTAAGGGAATTGCTGCGCATCCAATACAAAATATCAGTTTAGTCAAATGACAGGGAGTCAAAGGATGAAGTGGTGGACAGTTACAGTAGGGTATTGGCGACTCACATGAGTAATCTGACATTGACCAAATGCACAATGTCACCAAGAGGCAGAATGGAGATGAGAAGGAAGGAAGGGGCAGAGAATATATTCTTGGAGGTCACCAGAAATGACAGCAAGTGAGGTGGATGAAAAGATACTGGAAGAAATTCCCTGATTATGACTAGACAATATTGTAAGGATTAGTACCAGGCCTTCAGCTTTTTAAAAAAATATATTTGTTTACAGGCTATCAATGTTATTGGCCAGACTAACACTTATTGGGTATCCATAATTGCTTTGAATTAGGCGTGGGTGAGCTGCCTTCTTGAATCACTGCAGCCCATTGGGCACAGGTACTTTCACAGTACCATTAGGAAAGGAATTCCAGAACATTCATTCAGTGACCGTGAAGGAGCAACAATACAGTTTTCAGTCAGGATGGTGAAAGACTCAGAAGGGATCTTGCAGATGGTGGTGTTTCCATGAATCTACCACCTCGACAGCAAGGGCAGCAGAGGTCACAGGTTTGGAAGGTGCTGTCTAAAGAGCCTTGGTGAGTTCCTGCAGTCTTGCAGGTGGTTATAGATGATATTGTGCATGGGTGGTGAAGGGAATTGAAGGAGACAACGGGCCAAAGGGCCTTTGTCAATGCTGTAAAAAAAACTTTATGACTCTCTTAAAATAAAATGGGCCAAAGGCTCTGAATCTCAGTACACGCAGCATTCAAAACAAAACAGAAAATTGCAAAGCATAAATATAACTGAATAAGAAAGATCTGGTAACTTTTACAGAAGCATGTTTGCAGACCGGAATCTTGAAGGGTACAGGAAAATTAGGAAGCATAGAAAATTAGGAGAATTCCCAGGTTTTAATAAAGCGTCATTGCAGGGTCACAAGACCTGAGTTTACTGTTGTCATTTCAAGGGTGAGATTAACACCAAGTTTTTTTTTCTATTCATTTTTTGTGGGATGTGGGTGTCGCTGACTGGCCAGCATTTCTTGCCCATCCCTAGTACCCTTGAGAAGGTGGCGGTGAGCTGCCTTCTTGAACCACTGTAGTCCTCCTGCTGTGGGTTGACCCATAATGCTATTAGGGAGGGAATTCCAGGATTTTGACCCAGTGACAGTGAAGGAATGGCGATATATTTCCAAGTCAGAATGGTGAGTGACTTGGAGGTGGTGGTGTTCCCATATAACTGATGCTCTTGACCTTCTAGATGGAAGTGGTTGTAGATTTGGAAGGTGTTGTCTGAGGATCTTCAGTGAATTTCTGCAGTGCATCTTGTGGATAGTGCACACTTCTGCTACTGAGCATCGGTGGTGGAGGGAGTGAATGCTTGTGGATGTAGTGCCAATCAAGCGGGCTGCTTTGTCCTGGATGGTGTCAAGCTTCTTGAGTGTTGTTGGGACTGCACTCATCCAGGCAAGTGGGGAGTATTCCATCACACTCCTGACTTGTGCCTCGTAGATGGCGGACAGCTTTTGAGGAGTCAGGAGATGAGTTACTCGCCGCAAATATTCCCAACTTCTGGCCTGCTGTTGTAGCCACTATGTTAATGTGGTGAGTCCAGTTGAGTTTCTGGTCAATGGTAACCCCCAGGATGTTGATAGTGGGGGATTCAGTGATGGTAACACCATCGAATGTCAAGGGGCGGTGGTTAGATTGTTTCTTATTGGTGATGGTCATAGCCTGGCATTTGTGTGGCGTGAATGTCACTTGCCATTTGTCAGCCCAAGCCTGGATATTGTCTAGATCTTGTTGCATGTGAACATGGACTGTTTCAGTATCTGAGGAGTCATGAATGGTGCTGAACATTGTGCAATCATTGGCGAACATCCCCACTTCTGACCTTATGATGGAGGGAAGGTCATTGATGAAGCAGCTGGAGATGGTTAGGCCTAGGACACTACCTTGAGGAACTCCTGCAGAGATGTCCTGGAGCGGAGATGATTGACCTCCCACAACCACAACCACAACCATCTTCCTATGTGTCAGGTATGACTCCAACCACCGGAGCGTTTGCCCCCTGATACCCATTGATTCCAGTTTTGCTAGGGCTCCTTCATGCCATACTCCGGCCGAATGCAGCCTTGATATCAAGAGCTGTCACTCTCCCCTCACCTCTGGAATTCAGCTCTTTTGTCCATGTTTGAACCAAGGCTGTAATGAGGTCAGGAGCTGAGTGGCTCTGGCAGAGCTACTTGATGGCACTGTTGATGACACCTTCCATCACTTTACTGATGATCGAGAGGAGACTGATCGGGCGGTAATTGACTGGATTGGATTTGTCCTGCTTTTTATGTACAGGACATAATTGAGCAATTTTCCAGTGTTAGATACCAGTGTTGTAACCGTACTGTAACAGTTTGGCTACGGGAGCGGCAAGTTCTGGAGCACAAGTCTTCAGTACTATTGCTGGAATGTTGTCAGGGCCGGTAGTCTTTGCAGTATCCAGTGTCTCTAACCGTTTCTTGATATCACATGGAGTGAATCAAATTGGCTGAAGACTGATATCTGTAATGCCGGGAACCACTGGAACAGGCCGAGATGGATCATTCACTCGGCACTTCTGGCTGAAGATTGCTGCGAATGCTTCAGCCTTATCTTTTGCACTAATGTGCTGGGCTCTTCCATCATTGAGGATGGGGATACTTGTGGAGGGGTCCAAATAGAATCACAGAATCCCTACAGTGTGCAAAGAGGCCATCTGAACCATCGGGTCTGCACCAACCCTCTGAAGACCCAGCCCAGCAACCCCCACCCTATCCTTGTAACCCTGCATTTACCATTGCTAATCTACCTAGACTGCACATTCCTGGACACTGAGCAATTTTAGTATGGCCAATTCACCTAATCTGCACATCTTTGGACTGTGGGAGGAAACCAGAGCACCCAACAGAAACCCACAACAGACACAGGGAGAATGTGCAAACTCCACACGGACAGCTGCCCAAGGCTGGAATTGAAACCGGATCCCTGTCGCTATAAGCCAGCACTAATCACTGAGCCCCTCATTTTTTTCTCTCTCTCTCCCCTCCCCACTGTTCCACTTAGACTGTGTAGCATTTAAATATAACTGAATGTACTGCTAGGCCATTTAACAGGGTATTAAAGAGTCAACAATATAGTTGTGGTCTGGAGTCAAATCTAGACAAAGCAAGATAAAGACAGCAGATTTTATTTCCTAGAGGATATTAGTGAATCTGATAAGGTTTTTACAACAATCGACAAGGGTTTCATGGTTAACATTAGATTATTTTTCATTGCCGATTTATTAATTGAATTCAAATATTACCATTTGCTATGGTGAGATTCGAATTCTGTCTCCAAAACATTTGCTCTGGCCTCTGGATTACTAGTCCAGTGACATTATCACCTTGCCACTTTTAAAGCTGCTGATGGATTTCTCAATTCAGTTCATTGGCCTCCTTTTCACCAAAGATTAATATTACTTGGCTCACTTAGTAAATTGCACATTAACAGTAGCTGGCTCATGAAGGAACCATTCCTTTTTATGTCCAATGGAAAACAAATCAGACTGTTTCAGGTTTGAATCCCAGTCTTTGCCTGAAGGGAAATGAAAATTCAGCTCGATTTCCAACTCCTGATTGTGTATGTGCACACACAAGTGTGAACGCATGTGTACCTTATGAAAAAGTTATATACACATCAGCACACCCACAGGATCAACCTACCTCATAAGTGACAGCAAAATACTGCAGAAGCTGGAGATCACAGTGGGTCAGACAGCATCCATGGAAACAGAGCAAGCTAACGTTTCGAGTCTAGATGACACTTCATCAAACCTCTAAGTCTAAATAAATGCCCACCCTCAAGTTAAAAAATAATATTCCACCAGTCAAATTTACTGCCAAACTGCAGTTATCTTTGGGAAATGACATGCTTTGAAACAAGGATAGAGGATTTGGGTGCAATGGAAGGTGTTCGTGAAGAAAACCACATCTGGTCCACCAGTATAAAGAGATTCACAAAGAGTCAGTCATACAGGATGGAAACAGACTCTTCGGTCCAACATGTTCACACTGACCAGACTTCCCAATCTGACCTAGTCCCATTAGCCATCATTTGGCTCATGCCCCTCTAAACCCTTCCTGTTCATATACCCATCCAGATGTCTTTTAAATGTTGTAATTGTATCCGCCTCCACCATGTCCTCTGGCAGCTATTTGATACATGCACCACTCTGTGTGAAAAGGTTATACCTCAGGTCCCTTTTAAATCTTTCCCCTCTCACCTTAAACCTATACCCTCTAGTTTTAGACTCTTCCCCAACCTAGGAAAAAGGCCTTGGTTATTCATCTAATCCATGCCCTTCATGATTTTATAAACGTCTATTAAGGACACCCCTCCAAAACCTCTGATGCTCCAGGGAAGAACGCCCCACCCTTTTCAGCCTCTCCTTACAACTCAAACATTCCAGTCCTGACAATTTTGACAGTCTTGTAAATTTTTTCTGCATCCTCTCAAGTTTAACAACATCCTTCCTATAGAAAGGCAACCAGAATAGTACGCAGTATTCTAGAAGTGGCCTCACTAATGTCCTGTACAGCCGCAACATGATGTCCCAACTCCTATACTCAATGCTCTAACCAATGAAGGCAAGCGTGCCGAATGCTTTCTTCACCACCCTCTCTACCTGTGACTCCACTTTCAAGGAACTATACACCTGCGACCCTAGGTCTCTTTGTTCGGCAATAATCCCAGGGCCCTACCATCAAGTGTTTAAGTCCTGCCCTGGTTTACCTTACCAAATACAACACCTCACATTTACCTAAATTAAACTCCATCTGCCGCTCCTCAATCTAATCAAGGCCCCGTTGTACTCTGAGATAATCTTCACTGTCTACTACATCACCTATTTCGGGGTCATTCTCACTTTGTTTCCCTGGTTGGTCAGCTTAGAACCGGGGACATAGTGTCAGGATACGGGGTAGGCCATTTCTGGCTGAGAAGAGGAGTGGCAAACTTACTAACCATACCTCCTATATTCACATCCAAATCACTTTTATAAATGACGAAAAGCAGTGGACAGCATTGATCCTTGTGGTACACTGCTGGTCACAGTTAATTTGTTTTTTCTGACTGACATCTAGCTCTGTGATAACTGCTAAACCAACAGGTTCAACAGCTATCTCACCCCTTTCCAGGAAGCTATTCTGCACAAACACTGTCCCTCAAGTGTTTTGTCCTGATCTTGACAGGGTATTGGTTCATGTGACTAATACAGTTCAGCCAGACGTAAACAAGTTTTCCCACAGTTGTTCCAAAAATTCTAAGCAGCAAAAACTATGTTTTTATTCAAAGGAAGGATTTAAGGCCAATCTGACTCCAGATTTACCCTCTAATTTGCAGGAAATTCTTCTGTAGCTCTGGGGAAATTTGTAAAGAGTAAAATAAGTAAGTGATTAATATAAACCACAGCCTCCATGGACAGAGGTTTTTGCACAGCTTTTTGTATTTTGACATATTACTGCCTGATGTAAGATTTCTCAACAAATTACGTTCCCAGGTGATATCCAATAAGGTTCAATCTTCTTCAGACAAATGGCTTTGACAGCTCATCATGTGACAGGATCACACAAGAAACACAATAAGACAACTGTATATGGAATTAAAGGCAATATGGGCAGAGGAGGCAAAAGTGAAAGGTAGGGCTACAATGTTGGCTCTGACTGTAAGAAAGCAGTAAATGGTATTCTCCAGGGTCTGTGTTAGGGAAATTTCTAATTATTGGATGTATAAATGATCTAGACTGAAGAACAATTTTTAAATTTACTGTGTTTCCACGATAAGGGTATGGTGCATTATGAAAGGCAATGCTTTGGCAGACAAATTGCAGAATTATTTCAACATCAGAAAATGTCAGAAATTTGGAAATGAAATCCATCATAAATGTTATACTTGAGACTAATTAAAGAAGCAGAGAGTTTTGTTGTGCAGGTACGTACGTAATTCAAGCACAGCAGAAATGGACAAACACAAACTGATTCCTCTTATTAATACTTAGGAGGTAAAGAAGAGAAAAGAATAATGTACACAACCTTTGTTACACTGCAATTGGAAGCACTGTACATATGTAGCTAGGGTGCCAGCAATTCTGATTTATGTTCACATGAAGCTGCAGATTGAAACTTAAAGCTAAATTAAGTGTTTTTGTATTGTTTCCTAAAACACTGTGAAAGAGGCAAACTCCACACTTCCAAAAGCATTGTACATCCTTATATCACTGCTTCAAATGGTCCAATAATAACCAGCAACATACTGGAGCAGAAAAGAGGGACCTTGATTTTAAAATTGGTCTCCCCATTCTCAGACATTGACATGCAGAAGGGCCTTGATCGACATGAATGGAGGAACAAACTCAAGGAGCTAATGGTCTATTCCACAATACCCTTCTAAACCAAGCACCATTCATACCTTGAGAGCGCAGCAGTAGTCCGTGGGAGCCTTGTATTTACTGCGGTAATCCTGTCCATAATACACATTCACGTGGTCCAGCTGAATGAAACAAGCCAGGTCGCGAGAGGTCTGCAAAACAGAATAATGCCAGGTTAGTTAACCAGCTCTCATCCTGAAAAGAGAATGAAATGACATTTACATTATTTAAATTTAGTTGTAGGCAAGAAAGCACAGTGCCACTTCTTGTATCCATATGCAGACATTTTTAAATGGATGCTGAATGGTGGAGGCAAAATGCAGCATTTAAAATCAGCTTGTTTTACATCCAGCAGCTGCTTCTTTGTCAATATAACTGATTTCTAACTGTGGAGTTCAACAATAATTTTCCACTCTCTTCTGTGCTTCTTTCAGACTTCAGAAGGTGTATTTCTATGTGATCTTAGACTAGACCTGAAACCAGCTATCCTCCACTGATATGCTTTGTATTCAATTGCAAGGGGTTTAAACATGTACCCATAGGAAGCTGCTTACGCTGGGTTGCCAGCACAGGGTCCTATCCAAGCAGGATGCTGAAATGTAACCAATCCCTTGGAAAATCTCATTTTCTCAGCAGAGAATAGAAATGAGTTTAAAGAGAAGAATGTCTCTTTATTCCCAAGTAGTGTTATGATCTCTGTAGTGACCAACAGTTTAAAATAAATTTGAACTTCCAGTTAATACGTTGTTAAAAAAAACACAAGATTTCTCGTTTTGAGACTTTTTCTGTAATAAAACAGTAGAAGCACTATTGAGTAAACACCCTCTCTGTAGGCAATTTGTACTTTAAACCACAATACAGAACCTTCCCTTCTTCTTTTAACAGGCATTCTGTACTTTAAGTAGGCATTCCTAGAACCAGTCCAGGTGATTCTTAGCTTCCAAGAGTTTGCTTCAGTTCTTTTCCCTTTCTCAGTGTGGTAATTTGTAGTCTTATAAATGAGGATTTTCCTGGAGACTTCACCCTCTAGTTCAAGATAGGCAAATCTGCAACTTGTTTTAACTCCTCCTGAATTTATTTTTTCAAATCCAAGCACGAGCTCCCATCTTGGGACTTCCAGCTGTTCGTTCTTGCAAACCCTTAGACCTTTCCCTCTCAAGCTCATCTCCATGGCAAGAGGAGGAAAACGTGGACCTTGTATCCAGGCAGAAATGCTAATCAACTATCCTGTAGACCCCAACTCTCTTATCCTGAAAGTAAATGGACAGTTTAAGCTATCTGCAACCTGACATTCTTAATATTTTTGTACCACTGTCTCTGAACATGAATTCCTTAAATCTTCTTCCAGTAAAACAATGTGAGATCCCTTTAATCTCTAAATCAAACCACTCATTCTGGTTGGTAGACTTCAGATTAGATCACATGACCCCCTTTAGTTTATCTTAAAAACACAATGCCGAAACATAACAATCTTATAAACATAATGATTGTGTCAGTAGCATGCATGTCTCTTATGAACTTGCTTAGCAGCACTGACAAACCCTATCCAACAAATGGCCTCAAGAGTGAAGTTACAATCTGGTGCAACATCCAAACAAGAAAGTCCCAGGTTTGACTTACAACTGTTTGACAGCCATATCATCTGTGAACCCAGGTTTAAATTCCACCTTGGCGTATAGTGGAATTTGAATTCAATAAAAATCTGGAATTAAGAGTCTAATGATGACCATGAATCAACCTATTGTCGATTGTCATAAAAATCCATCTAATTCGTTAATATCCTTTATGCAACTCTATGCCTACATGCAACTCCAGACCCACAAACATTTCAACTGACTCTTCTGCCCATGGCACACAATGTCTGATATAATTACTAGATCAAACGATTATATTGTTATCAATGCATCCAATGCTTTGGATATCAAGAATGATAGTTCACAGTCATGAAGAACATCACAAAATAAGGCTTGGGGCATCGCAGAGGTCACTCCAGTATTTCCAAAAGTATTCTCACAAGCAATTAAATCTTCTGCCAAACAGTTGCAGAATTACTGGAGCTGTCACGATTCATTTAATACACAAGCACCTTTTAAACCATACCTTTGTCTTGCCCTTAGGGACATAATATATTCCAGAAGCTCTGAGGAGGAAATAGCGCTTCTTCCAGGATTTCTTGCCATCCTCTTTCAGCCAAAGCAATCCCTCAATCTCTGGAACAGTCACAGAACTTCCACAGAAAAACTCCTGCAGCAAAAACACAGAAGAGTATTTAATTTACAGACAGCAACGGAAAAGGTTATTGAGTTAATTGGCCTGAGCTGCTAGAACTAATTAGATCCAGCAGGTAGGAAAAAGCACACCTTGTAATTTAATGTTTGCTTATTCTGAAAGCAGACTGGAAAGGAGAGCAGAAAATTGGACAGCAGATCATCTTTTCTGCAGATGTATCTATTAACTCTGCAACTTGGTGAAAAGTCTACAAATTCCAGTAAGCAATTGTTAATAACATGCAGCTAACTTACTTTTTCTGGTCCATTATTTATTATTCTTAGTTTTTATCTTTGTACCACTCCCAGACCAGCAGTTCCACTGAAGCTAGCCACATGTACAGCAAACTCTGATAGGGCGCTACTCAATTTTCCTTGGGAAATTTTGCCTGGATAGACCCACAATGTGCCACAATGAAACCCTCTCCACATTTTTCAACTTAAACTTTTGCAGCAATTTTTGACTGTCTAACAGCACAACTTAAAGTGACATTGTTTTGAGAATATATAGGTAAAAAGGCTGATTTAGTTTGGCTGTCTGTTTTCATGTTGTAACAATAGGAAAGATGTGAATGCATTGGATAGAGTGCTGAAGATGTTTACACAAGGTTCCAGGAATGAGCACTTCAGTTATGCAGGAAGAAGTTTGGACTTTTTTTCCTTGGGGAGGAGAAGACTAAGAGAAAATTTGATAGAATTTTTCAAAATCATGAAGTGTCTGGACCGAGTGGATAGGGAGAAACTGTTCCAACTTGTAGATGGATAAAGAACCAGAGGGCACAGTTTTCAAGTGTTTTGCAAAAGAAGCAAATGTGAGGCAACAAGAAACTTTTTCACACTGAGTACTTAGGGCATGAAATGCATTGCCTGGACATGTGGTAGCAGCAGGTTCAATTGGGGCATTCAAGAGGATTTCAGATGATTACTTAAATAGAAACAATGAGCAGAATTACAGGGAAAGGGAAGGAGGGAGGCACTAAACTGAAATGCTCACGGAGCCATTCCAGATACTATGAGTTGAATGGCCTCCTTCTACACCATAACTATTCTGTGATTCTGAGCCAGATGATTATCTTTCTATACTCATAGGTTGAATGGTCCCAGAGGACTGTCTAAATTGAAAAAAGATTGTCTTCAGAATAGGTGGTGAGAGCTGAGGAAAAATTGGGGTCCAAACAAAATCCTATCCTGGAGCATTTACAAGGTACTTCTTCTACAGCGGAGAGTTCCTGTGAAAGGATATCTTAACTAGCTTCTCATTAGTAAATTGTTCAATGTTTGGAATTATAGAGCATAAGAACATTATTTTCACTACTGATGCTGTGGAACATCAAGTATTCACTCAAGCTAGGTTAACCTATCAGCAATTTTAGAGGCAAATGTTTGTTCTTTGCTGATTTCTAAATATTTGGGATGCAGAAAGGTTAACTACAATATTCTAAATTGCTCATCTTATTCACGCCAGATTCCAAAACTAAATTCCTCGAATCCAGAACAGTGTCCTAAACAGTAACACAAATAACTAACCATTGAAGAAAGCCAAGAGAGTATATTAAGCCCTTCTGGGGTCTGAAGAGCATTGTACTTTTGTCATAGGCAGTCAAAGGGAACTGCAAAGATATGCCAGTCACATAAACTTGAATCAGTAATACTTACTGGATTTGGTAATGACAGTAGAACCCAAATGGGCATTCCATATGCACTATCACAAGCACCCAGCTTGCAATGAACAATTCTGCCTGCATAAACTTGGGTTACATCTGAAGAGGGTATTCTTTAAAACTTGGTTAACACTGTTGTGAAGTTGGAAGTCAGCCACTGATGACAAAAGCAGTTTTGAGAAGGCATGTCTCAAAATTCAAGCATAAAAGGGTTCAGTGAAGTTTTGACCTTGTCTTAGTATTGGGACCTCCATGGTTGATTTCCCAAGAAGAGAACTTTTACCCTCAGAGCTACAATACAGTTGATTTTAATTACTTGTACTAACTTCAGAATTAATTTATTTGAAGCAATCTTTTATCTTTTAAGGTCTGCAAACATAGAAACTGAATTTTATTGCAACTTGGTGTTAAAACGCAAGTACTCTTTGTTTTTTTCTTATGCAACTAAAAAATTAAAATCCAACCTGTTTTCCTCTTTGGTTCATTCCTTTCAGTTATGACTGACATGACTCAACCCAGATTAAGGATCACGAAAAGGAGAAATCCCTTCACTCAAAAAGCTTATGAACCTTTTTGGAATTCTCTACCAGACAGCTGGGGATCATCAGTCATCATCTACACTGAAGTCAGAAATTGAAAAGATTTCTGGATACTAAAAAGTGTGGTGAGGCAGGTCCAACTCGATCCTCTGAATGGCCTACTCAGCTCCTATCTCTTGTTCCTTTAAATGAATGAGTGGTTCTGGATTTTATTTCAGAATGCTATCACATGTCTGTTTAGCTCCTGCCCTCGGTTCCCTCTTCATTGGGCCAATTAATAAACTAAAAGTCAACGAGAAATGTTGATCCTTGATTGCTAAGGCACCAAATGAGTTTCAATTACCTCAGAGAAATTTAGAGGCACAGCTTGTGTGACTAACTTACCTCGAGTAAAGCTTCCTTATTTCGGTCTCCCATCTCAAAATTCTCTCTCTTCCCCAGCAGATAATTCTGTCGTAAATAAA